GAAATTCGGAGAATCTTTACAAGAGCTATAGGAATTGGTGGGCCTGGGCAAGTTATACTAAAGCGTTATGTAGCAGCAGTAATGGCAGGGATCATTTCAGAGTTAAATGTGAACTTAATGGAATTGGTGAAACAGGGCAAAGAAAATGAGGTATTTGTCAAGGTGATACTTTGTGGTGGTTTACTTTTTGATTTCTGTGAAGACCTAGGTAACGTGATGCTAGAAATGCTCATCATTTGAGAACAGAGTTTGAGGGTGATAGGAGCTCAGGAGATAAAATACAGGTTTGTGTTTTCATAGGAAGAATTCATGCGTGTCGTATCTAATTGTCATTAGAGTTCAGCAACCAAAATGGTTGGTTAACCCCTCTGCATTAATTTCAAGAGCAGTTCAGCATCACTGTGAAGCTTTTACTTCCCTTGCTGAACAATTTTTTTGCCTTTGAAGTTACATATGCTGTGATTTTTAAATTATGTTGCTGTTTGAAATTTTTATCTGCTGTTCTGGATGCATCAGAAAATGTACAGAAGAAAGGAATTAATAAATGGTTTGTTTGCACAACTAGTGCAAATGTAAATTCTCTATTCTTCATCTAATAATTTAAGCAGATGTGAAACATTCTCTTAAGAGTTTTACGGGGGTTTTTTATTGTTGCTTTAGTAGTGATGTGCTTTTACTATTTTTGCAGCATCAAAATCACTCTCTGTTTGCCATGCTGCATTTGATTGCAGTGGAGATAACTGTCAGAGAAATACAACTTTCCAGGAAACATTAATTGAAATGATGGTTTTGTATTCAGCATGCAGTAACTGACAGATGTAGACAAGGAACAGAGAATTCATTAAGTGGCATTTCTCCAGTTTTTTAATCTTTTTTTCTCCCTCTGAAAAAACAATAATTAAACCAATATCTGTATAAAGGCATGCCAGATGAAATCAGAAATGCATTTAATATACTGCACAACATTGTAGAAGATGTTTTATATGCAACCACTTTCGTTCTCCCACAAACTTCAAACAAATTTTGGGGAAAATTTTTGGAAACTGAAACCTTAAAAAATTATCCAAGTGCTGGAAGCATTGGTAAATTTTCACAGTATTTCCTAATTCTGGGCATACTATTTATATATAAATCTAACCCAAATCTTCATAATCGTTCTAAAACACTTGGGTCAAGCAAAGAAGCATTGTGCAGCTTAAAATAGAAAAGCACTTAAAGAAAATTAATGCTTGTGTGGACACGTGAACATAAAACGAGCCAGTCTGGCTTATTGTCATGCAGAATCCCCATTCTTTTTTTTTTTTTTTTAGTCCCCACTGGTGGTTCTTTACTTCCTTAGATGTTTTGTATCTTCATATAGAAATGATATTCCAAATTACTTTCATTTACAATGTTCTTTCATTATTGTCACAGGACTCAGTACTTAAATTAAGGGACAAGCGAGAAATAAAAAAAATATTAGGAATAGTGATGAAGTCAGTAAGTGTAATATAAAAAAACCCCAACCACATTAAAAAAACTAGCAGTGGGAAAGCCACCTTCTGGTTAAAAGTACTGGTGAGGACAGATGTCCACTTCCAGATCTTGCTGTGATAATCGTTTTTACCATCTGTACTGCCTGTCAGTGCGCACCGGCTGGGGGGCAGCATCCCGCAGCTCTGCCGGTGTGACGGAAAGTGTGAGTGACCTCTAATCCTCTTCAAGCAACTCAGGCTGGCTCAAAACACCTCTAGGACTATTTAAAATCATGCTTCTGAATAAAGCAGACTATTTGAAAAAGATAAGGAGTGCCCCCATTTATACATTCTGCTGGCAATAGAATGGAGAATTAATGGAAGCTTTTGCAAAATAAGCAGCTTGCGTTGCCTTGGGTTCTCAATCACATCTCCCTTAGTTGTATCTCTTTGTGTAACTTTGGCTTCTCTATGTATTTTATTGCCCTTTCTGACTTTATCTCTACAGCAACACTTAGGACTATTATGGGATTTCATCAGTTGGTCTGTAGGTTTCTTCATTCCATCCTTTCCTTCTTCTCTCTGTCTAAATACAGTGTTTTGTTAGTTTTTGGCGTTCAGTGGGAGGAAAAAAACCACCAACCTAAAATTTTGCTGAACAAGGTTTTTTGAGTGATGACCAGATCTCAGGAGAAGGGAAACCTTTTCATTTGAACTGAACATTGAATTTCATTTTCCAGCATTTCTAAATTATTTACAAGAAAATACGTTTGATAATTAAAGATGAATATGCTTTTTTTTTTTAGATGGGACAGACTTGGTGATTTCACCAAGACCTAGACTTACAGGGAACAATAAAATCACACACACACAATTTACCCTTGTCTGTTTCTGGGTCTTAAGGAAGGGTATATTTATTATGAAAAATGAAAGGGCAGAATTAAATAAAATTTGTCTAAATTCCAGCATAGGTTACTTAGACTCTAGACTGGAAGATAATGGTGACCATAGATGCTTTAAACTCAGTCTAGTCCTCAACCTTATGGTGTCTAAATTTCTATGGTGTCCAAATGAACAATTTTTGTCTTGGACAAAAAGCAGCTCTTTGAGTTGGGGTGTCTCTGCTTCTGAGGCTTCTCAGTGTGTTCATGTATTTATATGTGCATTATTATCAGCAACATAGGACAGGATATGTGCACTTCTTATGGCCTCTGGACAGTAAAGTATGTACCATAATGTCAAAGTAATGAATTCATCATGGCTGGGTAAGTGGAATTAGGATTGTTGAAAAATACCGTGGCTATTTCCCATACTATTTCAGCCATCCCTTCCATGCTGCCTACTGGCTGGAGCGGGCCCACCACTGTGCACACATGTTCTGTATTGGAAAATAGGCATTTTTCAGACATCTCTTCCCCCCACTTTCTGGTGTGCTTTTTGATTTTTTTTCTGTTTGAGTTTTGTATCGCTGCTTATAGATGCATTATATGAACATTTCTGCCAAAAATCCCTACCACTATCGATGCACTTTCCTCTTTATGCATGCAGTCCCTGCCGTATTTGGAGTAGGTTGTGTTTTGGGGGACTAGTGCAGATTGTGCATGCCATTTTTAGTGAAAATCCTTCCTTGTATTGAAGGGCTTTGCAGCCTGCTGGATGCTAATCAAACTGCATGTGTCTAGTGTCTGCTGAAGGGTTGTCCCTATGTCAGATCCCATCAGCGGTGAGTGACGTCCCCGATCTCTCACGTGCGTTGTCCTCAGTTCTGTGTTCTGCATTGGTTCACTAAAGGGCAACTACCCAGATGGTTCATAACTTGCAATTCATATTTCATAGTGGAAAGCATTTCCCCCGCGTTTGAAGCTGATCAGGAGCTCATGGAGGAGGTGAGAGGTTTGCCATGTTAGTGTTTGAATCATTAAGAATAACATAGACACGCTTCATAATAGCTGGAACCCGCCTGTCACCGTGTCACTAGGCACCAGGTACTGAAAATTAAATGAAGTGAGGTAATCGTAACTACAGCATGCCTTTATTTGGGAGAGAAGGATAGCGTTTCTCAGAAGCTGAAGGTCAAATGCAAGTTTCATGAGTTAACCAAGAGTGAGAAGCGACACAACAGCTGTAATTATATACCTGAAGTGAAAGGTGAGTCCGTGCCTCTGCCTGTGCTGTGGCCGGATTGGTACCTTCAGAAAAGCATCGCTTTGGTCTTGAGGAAATTACGCTTGGGCCTGGTGCTTTCATCTGAGAGGTGACCTACTGGCATGTGCATGCTGCTGAGAGCCGTTGCGCCAGTGCTGAATGAACGAGACATAATGCTGAGTACCATTGGCACATCAGGAGCCTGATTTCTTTTGCTTGGCATCTTGAAGATGCTATTAATAGGGCTTTCCATTCCTGAAGTACCCTATAGGTGTTGATGAGCTTTGTAGGAGGCAAGGACTTACCCTAAGCTGCATGAGGAGAGGGATCCTTAGAGCGTGGGATTGATCATCGCCTCTTGCTCTCTTGCAGGCACCTTTGTAGCTCTCCGAGGCCAGGTCTCAATTTAAGTATTTTCGTTCTGTCATGTTAGTGTGAATAAGCATGAATAACTTTACGTTGCTGATCACATTCAAGACCTACTGTTCTGTAAATGTTCCTGCAAATGCTATTTGACAGATATATGTAACCACTTATTTTATTGCAGTTCTTTATGCTGCTGAGCGCGGTGTATGGGCTGTTATTCTACTATAAGACTTGCAAGTTTTTTTGGTTTTTTTTTTTCTTTTTTGTGAAAAGGTGCTAGATGTGCATAAATTAATATAATTTTAAAAGCCCAAGTGTGCTTGTTCAGTGCAGCCACACATTCTTACATTGCATCCTTAAATCGAAATGTTCCTAAGTTGAAGTATCATGCAAAATAAATGCATTTCTGTATCGATTTAGGGAACCATGTCTTTTCCTTTATACTTTCTTTGCATATATAACCTGTCACTTTGGCTGTCATCTTTCAGTTAACAAAACTTTGATGCAGTTCATTCCAGCGATGGTGTGGCAGCGCACACACAGCAAGAGAGGCTGCTCTGAAGTAGAACTTGACAGGCTTTATTGATTTGTACTTGGAGGTCATCAACCTGAGGTCATCACAAAGACATTTATGCTGCTTCTACTGATATTGCCAAAAGCTTCCAGTAGCTATTCCAACTTCATCCCAAATATAATTAATTTGTGCTTTATGATCTATTTTCAGAAGTCATTGCTTACATGTATGCATGTATCTATATAGACAGGTCTTATTAAAGTAAACCTACTTTTTTTTTATGATTAAAACTGGCAGGAATTAGTACTAAATAGAACCCGTAAGGGTCCTGTTCAGAACATAAGGACAAACCCATCTTGCAAAAGCAAAATTTAAGTGGAAAATCTACCTATTTGTTAATATGCCATAGGTGGTACAGCTTGTAGTTGTTCTTGGAGAAATAATTTATGGAAATGTGGATATAAGCGGGCATTTTCTATTTCACTGCAATTTTGATTTATTTTATTTTATTTTATTTACAGGATTAGCTGGCACCGCTGCAGACCTAGAAAAAAGAAAGCTTATTTTTGGAAAAAATTTTATACCTCCGAAGAAGCCAAAAACATTCTTACAGCTAGTCTGGGAAGCGTTGCAGGATGTGACTCTTATAATCTTGGAAATTGCAGCCATCATATCTTTGGGGCTTTCGTTTTATCAGCCACCTGGAGAAGGGAATGAAGGTAAAAACTTTTTATCGAGGTCATTTGTATAAATCTAAGTAAAACCAGTCCTATATATCAAATTAATTCCACCCCTGCTCTCCAGAAGGTCACTAACAGGAAATTTCCACGTGGTTTGTTCCTGTTACCATTACATCTGGTACTGACGTATTTTTTGTATGCTTGACATTTCTTTATGCAAATAGCTGAACCTCATGACATGTGCTAAATAAGTTAAAGAAAAATCATAAGATTCTTATGAAACTAGAGTATTTTTGTTTCTGTTTTCACCTTTGAGCTTGTGTTTGGTGTTTGCTTGTTCATCTTCAATTGTTGTTAATCACGTTATAGAGAAGAAATATGTAATAGCTTATATAAATAATGTATCACGTATATATGAACGTGGACAGGTCTTCTGCTAGTTTATCCCAGCTGAAGACTTGGACTTAATGAAACTCACTCATTCTCGTAATTTTAGTGCTATAGCTGAGGCTAGTGAGCCTAGCTCAAAAGGGAATATCAGATGCTAGGTCATGTTACTTATAAACGATACGCTGCCAAATCCTCCTGGGGTATCTGTAGAAAGTTTTAACACCCTGCCTCCTCCCCTCCTCCCCCCTTTGGAAAGTACTCTTGAATTCACATGCCTAAAATATTCATTCCTCTACATAAATGCAAGATTTCCATTTCTGGCAACTGATCCAGATTTCCCACCCCCTGGCTCTCTCATAGACTTATAAAGCTGGATAAAACATGCTGTGTAAAGTGACGTGAGTAGCTTGGCAAATGCATGAAGAATGTCTTCCTCTAAATATAGCCTTGAAATGCTTTTTACATTTGCTTCAGTTTCCCTTGGCTACTTTCCTTGAAGACCCTTCCTTCTTCCTTTTCCATTCACAAGCAGAATAAGCACGTAGCTATGCATAGCTCTTGGAGCATATTTATGATTCTTTAATCCTTTATTTAAAATCAGGAATCTTTTATTGCTTTCTCACTGAATTTTGAACATATGGCTATTGATTCAGCAGGTGTCTGGTTTAGGCATGAAAAGGTAAAGGAGTCATTTGTTTTTAACTGAAGAAAATGTTATTTATTCTACTTCTTCATATAACTGGGCATAGTAGAATACCTTGGGATATTGTAAACCACGAACGATGCTTTACAAACTTAGGATTTAGTTCTGCAAACCTTTTTCCTAGGCGTAAATCTGCAGTCTACTCTCTTATTTTTTAATTTATTTGGTGGGAAAAGAATTTTGAAAATAGGGTTGTTACAGGTTTCAGGAAGAGGGGAGTTGTGCCATCAGACGATGTCTTTTAAAATTTTCCTTCTTATTATTTTGATACTGCATTTAAAATGTTTCTTTTTCCCGTGGGAAGGCATGACACATCTGAGATTCTGAGATAGTCTGAAAAGCTCAGTAGCACAGCCTGGGAAAAAGCATTTGTGTTTTCCCACAGCACACTATTTTATTCAAGGGTTGCTGTTTTCTCTATGTATTTAGAATTGTTTTCCTGGAAGATTTTGCCGTGTTTTACACAGGGTGAATAAATCAAGTTAGTGACTATCTTTTAATCCAACTTTCTGAAAACATTGTAAAAGTCCTTCACATTGTTTTGAAGTCTTTCTTTGAGCCGCTGTATAAACGTGGGAGATTCTCTTTCATTTTAAAATTGGTATGTTCTAAGCTGCTGCCAAGGATACCTATAGTTTATTGGTAGATGGCCTTTTTAAAGAGCCATAAACATTGAAAAACTGACATGTTAAGCTTGATTTTGCCTGCATGTAATTAGAACTGTTTCTGGAATTGAACATGAACTTGGATTCAGACCAAATGTGGGCCTATCTGAGGGGATTATTGCAGTTCTTTGAAAGAGAAGCAACTCGGATGCTTTCTGTTGTGTGAGAACCCGTCTAAATCTCATATTCATTACATATTGCTTTAGATCGGTCCACCTGTGCATTGCTGTTGTAACACAGAATATGGATAAAAAAAAATAAATCATACAATATGTAACGTCCTCGCAGCAGTCTGCATTATGCCCCATGTCATTGTCTTGAGGTGAAGGGGTGATATTGCCTGGGGGATATAATAGGGAATTCCTACCCAGTGACCGGGCGAAGTGATAAATGCTCCTCTGGGAAGTGTGAAAACCTGTATTTTCCTTTTCTGACTCTTCCCAGAATGAAAATTATTCACTGAAATGTTCATTTATTTGCAAGTTTTATGTTTTTTCTTGAAAAGAAAATATTTTCTTCTGAAAATACAGCCCAGTGTTAGAAGGGGAGCTGGTATTTCTTGTTAACTGTCTAGTCTCAAACTTGCCCAACTCTTTCACAGCGTATTTTAAAAGTTCCTCAGTTTCTTAGTAGTTGTGCTGCAGAGCCCCCTGGATGATGTCTTTGTGGGGAGCAGGTGAGAGGCAGCACCTCTCCCTGGGGCTCAGCCCTCCCCTAAATCTCTGTGGAAGCAGTGTGGAGGGGCAGCGGTGCTTGGTCCGTGGGCTGAGTAGCTAATGGGCAGCTTCACTGAAAGTTATAGAAAGAATCTGTCTTTCCAGAAGATGCATTCTTACCATTTTGTTTGTTTGGTTTTTTGTCTGTTTTTATCTGTCCCTAAAAGTTGTTGGTGTTTGCTTTTTCCGATTGGTGTCAATGTAAAGTATAAAGCTCGTGACGTTCAAGTCTGTCTACAGCTCAACAAAAAATCCCCTTTGTGTAACAGGACACTGCTTTTTGATGCACAATTTGTCGTGGTTTAACCCGGCTGGCAACTCAGCACCACGCAGCCGCTCGCTCA